TCTCACCATACCCATGGGTCTAAGGCACCAAGGCCGGCCCATTATGTGTTTATGGTATATGTGTTAGCCATTATGTGATTTTATATGATATGTGATTATGTGTTTTGCATGAAGACCCCGGGGGGAGCCCGTGACATTAGATGTAAGACCATATGGGGTAGCCAATGGCCATCCTAGGTAAAGACCATGTGGGGTAGCCCATGACATTAGATGTAAGACCATGTGGGGTAGCCCATGGCAGTCTTAGGTAAAGATCATGTGGGGTAGCCCATGGTATTGGATGTAAGACCATGTAGGGTAGCCCATAACAGTCCTAAGTAAAGACCATGTGGGGTAGCCCATGTCACTATTACAGGTTTTATGTATGAATGGATTATGTGATATGTGTGTAGCTTTAATTAGCTAATAGGATATGTGTATTTGTAGTGTGTGGTATGATCTACGGAACTCACTAAGTGTTTCGCTTACATGTTGTTGATTTTTTTCAGGTACATCTGAGCTCAATGGCAAAGACAAGGCATGATGGCGCGGCGTGCACTCTATCTCTCTCTCTCTCTCTCTCACTGTTAGGGTTTAGGGACAATTTGATGATTTGATTAAGTTGTAATGAATCGTTGATTTGAAAACAATTATGTTGGGATTTCATGGTTTATGCAATTATGTATTATTAATTAAAAGTGTAAATTTTCTTTAAAATTTTGGGTCATTACAATGTATTCTTTTCAATGCAAAATATAATTTAACCTTATAAGTATTATTTATCTATGCAAATAACCAAAATATTAATCAAAATGTAAATAAATATTGCTTAAAAATATATATAAATATGGCAATATCAATCATGTATTTACACATACGTAGTTATATGTTGTTTTATCCATAGTTCAAAATAAAATCGGATTAAATTGTTAATTTTAGACAAGGAATATAGTTTCAACCAATCATTGAATCATTGTGAACTTGTTCACAAAACATCTATATTTATTATTTTTTATCATTCTCAATAATTACCTTATAATTTAATTAAAATTATTTTTACCTTTTTTCCACCCGTGATATCCATAGGTTATAACCTAGTAGTAGTAGTAATAATAATAATAATAATAATAATAATAATAATAATAATAATAATAATGTTCGAGATCTATGTTCGGGATCTTGAAAGTTTTGAAGATCTGAGATCCTGAATAGAATGATCTTGACCATAACATATAATAAAAACATAATGACCATTATAATAACAAATGATATAAACTTTACAAGTATAGACTTTACCATTCAAAAAACATATTTTCAAAATCGATATTTTAGGTTTAATATTATATTTTTAAAATTTTGGTGCCTTTTTAAATTTCAAAACTTATGAATTAGTATATAATATTTAATTGTCATAGCAGCAACTAAAATTAATCAATTTTTTCAGAAAAATATTAGCTTAAAAATAAAAAATTTAAAAGTATGAAAATAAATAATAACTAAGGAAGCAACACATGCTTTCGCATGGAGGTTTTTTTAAATAGCATTTTTGTTAAGGGGTTGGATTGATAATATTGGTACCTATGGAATAGATCCTAAGTTTAAAAAAAAACATTAAGGAAAGAAGAAGAAATTGAGTTTGTTTCCTTACATATGAAGTTTTAACCAAACAATGTGCAGGTTCAGAACATAAATACATTTCTATTACTTTTAAAAAGTAAAGTGCATTGACCATATTAGTACAAAAGAATAGAGTAAGTTCTCTTTCCTGTAATTTGCTAATAACAATATTTAACCCATACTCATTTTCTCATCAATCAACTTTATATAATAAAAATCTACAAAAAAGAAACCTCAATCAATCATTTTATTTCTAAATTATTTATCAAATCAAAATGATATTTGTGCTCAAAGAGTCATCTCACCAATTTCAGTTCTAATTGTTTCCAAAATACTTGCTCTCAAATAGAACTTTGCAACCATGATGGCTTAAAAAAGTTGAAAGAACTTACCAATTACTCCTTGTGTTCTTGAAATCCTTCTTCATTTATTTTGTTAACAATAACTACAATGCCATTCCCTGGATTTGAAGTTACAATATGAAAGCACATCACATTCTGTAAGAGAATTAAATAGCCTAAAATAACAATAAATATAAAAACAAAATTATTTAAAATTTAATCTTTATAAATAGTTTTCCATACGAAAAGTTGATTTTACATTCAGCCTTATCTTACTGACTTCCATCTTGGCAATCACTTAACTGGTGAATGAGTATTCAGTTTGTGAAGGTCAAAAGTTTAGACATAAAGTAATCACCCTTAGACATATCAAAAGTCTCGTTAACATTCTTCAAGGTAGAAGGTTCTTTTAGTACCTTTTTCATTTTCTCCATATGTGAAGTGAGGAATTAAGTAAATGAATAAACATAAACATAAATGATGTGCAAAAAAAATAAGATCTTTGTTCAAAATACCTGGCATAAGCTAAAATAACTATTTTGTCCTCACCTTCATCTTCTTCAATTCAAACTCTAAAGAATTTCATCAATTTCTTGATCTAAAACTCTATAACTACTTTAGTGAAGATGGGGGCCAAATAGACATTTTATTTTGGATGCAAGAAATAAATTTTAATTGGGGCATACAAGGACACCAGACGACTTCACTTCTTGCAGCTTCTATTCATCTTTCAGATGCAATGTATCATAGTTGATGGAACTTAAATATTATTTCTCACTATGAAATGACACTAAATACAGTAGTAAAGTTTAAAAGTTCCTATTCAAGTCAAATGTTTTTGTGATTACAAAAAGTAGTTTTAAACTGATAATTATCACCAGATTCCATAATGTTTTCATTAGTACATGTTTCAACTACTAGTGATTTCATTAGCATGTTAACAGTAACTTGCAAGTACAACTCATCCTTCTTAGGCAAAATGACAACATATACTCAACATAATTTATCCATACAAGAAAAAAGAAAGCATGCATTTACCTAGAAAAAAAGATCTTAATGTGTCATGGTTGAATAAACTCGTTCCAATCTCAGATTAGTTCATGTACTTCACATTTCCCAGAAAGAATGGAGTTTCTAGACGTGCTTTAAGAGTTGTGTCATTCTCTACTGTTATCTGTGTTTTATTCTTTAATGCTTCTTTCAAGAATCTCATCTCAAACAGCTTTGTTTTTCAATGGTTCAATGTTAATAATGAAGCCTTTTTTATTCCTTTTCCCTTTTCTTTTAGTAGAACCTATATATTCAATCCCCTCTATTTCTGATTCTTTTCACACCTCTAATCACTAATAACCCTCCCTCTCTTCTCTCGACATATCTGAAAGTTTCATCATTTTCAAATTAATTAATTTGGTCTTATATTGCTTTATTAAAATGGTAATAAATTATAACACTAACGACAAACACAAATGAAAATCAAATGAAATTTATATACAGAGGTAATTTACCTAGGTTAGGTACTGAATGCATCAACTTCATAGTATTTGAAATTTTCATCATTTTTCTTCAATAAATCAATCATGTACTGCACGTTACACCATTCTAAGTCTCATAAGCCATTTCAACAGTAGAAAAATTAAAATGAAATGTTTTAATTTCAAATATGTCACCAAAAATATCCATTTCGTGAACAACATAAAAAATGGTAGTAAGATAGTACATTAGTAATGTTGTTAAATTACCAATTATCGATAAGAAAATTAGTTGATTCAAGCATTTCATCAAGGACTTGGTGTGCAATGTAAGTCTATTATTCCTTGCATCATAGGTGTTGCTACATCTGGAGAAGTCAAAAACAAATGAATGGTCTATTATATTAGAAAGGGCCATAGAGGAGAAACTCAAAAGTTATAACATGAAATCAAATTTAAGGTAAATACCACTTGCATTCAATCGTATCCTCTTTGTACTTAGGATCCTCAATTGCTGTCAAATACAAAGTCCCGATAACCGGTACCAAAAAAATACATTGCAAACCTGGAGTACCCAAAAACAATTTTAAAACAGTAAATCATCTAGTGTGGAGACTTACAAAATCGATCCCACAAAGTTCAAAATTATGTGTAACCCTTTAACAATGATGTATTACTCATAGGTGTGATTTACTGACCTCATCTTCTTCGACTTGTTCATGTCGTCTTTCTCTAACTTTGACCTCGAAACTCAATATCACTAGAACATTTATGGAGGAGCAGCAAGCGATGGAGAAAATCGTGGTGGGTAGTGTACAAGGTTTATAATCGCGGGTGAAAGCATAAGGTGGGTTTATAGAATACGCGAAGCGGGTGATGATAGCAACCGACCATCGTCAGCCACTTTTCTGATTTTCCCAAATCCATCAATTTCATCTTCAAAGAAGAAAAACACCGACTAAAGGTTAAAACCATACAAATAGGGTACTTCTGGTTCGACGACGATGCCAACTTCGTTGGTCTAACTGTTAAGCGAGTGAAGTTTCTAGTCATTTATCCCCAATACTGACGGTGGAGGCAGTAAGAAGAAGGAAATCCACCCAGCTCGACTTCGATCTGATTTGAACAATTTTAGCTAGAGAAACAGGAAAGAAGGGAGAAGGGGTTTGGAGGAACGCATGAGAAAGTGTGGTGGAAGATATGTTGAAATCGAGATCAGAGATGGTGAGGATGTTTAGTCGGTGACAGCAAACATATTGTTATTGATCTCCTTAGACGGTGAAAAAAAAAACAGCCCTATAATAACAATTTACTATTCCATAACGAAGTCAAAATTAATATTATTATAAATATAAATATAAATAATATAAAGTTATATTAAAACATTTTATCCTTTTGAAGAATTTTCCTTATATAAAGAGCCCTTATTTTTCGGTTCCTAAATAGTCAAAATTAATTCTTGATAAATTCAAGGAATCGAGTCCCAATCGAAAACTAATTAATCCGTATCCATTTATATTATTCACGATTCTTCGGTGATCCTTTTGTCGACTACTTATACAACACAAAGTACTCAGAAATTATCAATCAATCAATGGCAAAACACGAAGATCTACCAGTTCCAATCCACTCCAAACTTGACGAGGTTTACGGTGATGGATCACAGGTCGAAGAAGCTCAACTTCGTTTCTCCATTCTCGATTCCAAATTCGAAGAATTATTCGGTCATCTTCCTGACCTCTATGCTCGCGCTCCAGGTTATTCCTCTTTAAGTTCACCGATTTTTTTTGTATCGATAACTGTATGATTATTCAATTATTGGATTTTTTGTGATTATTTTTTAATTTAATTCGGAAGTACATTGACTAATGACCACTGTTAATCAGTTTCTTAAGTAAATTAAGATCGGGAAAAGAAATCCGAACTCTTTTTTGTGATGAAGGTGATCGCCTTTTAGATTAAGCGTTTCTTGATACGCTTTTACTTAATTTTTTCGTGGAAAAGCATAGCAAAGTGCTTAAGCTGTTCCGAATTAATCTGAATCACTTCAGCGATTTCAGGAAAAATTGTTGGCTACATTGAAGTTTGTTACAACTACTTAAATTTTAGAATCTCTGGTGTCATAACATGTGAAACGAGATCCATAACGATTTTGAATTCTTAAAGTGCCTTCGAGTTTGACACAAAAAGTTGATCCATCTCTTTCTTTGAACACGATCTGATTACCTATCGTCATATTTACAAAAATTTCACGCCATCATATTTGGTCCACTAAATCCCTTATTTTCTTGGGACCAAAGTCTATTACAGTTTATAAATATTTCTTGAAGTATCCTTATACTAAACTATAAATATATTCACATTGCAAATTTTTGTGATCATAATTATCAGTTACACATCTGACACTGATAATGGCAAAGTTGTAAACTTTAAGATCGTGTTGAGTTCAGATCTATTATTCAGTACAGATATATATATGTTCATGTGTTTATGGTGTCTTTATATTCTTTTTCATGACATTGAACGTTTGCAATATTGTTTTTGGAATCAAGGAAGAGTGAATTTGATCGGAGAGCACATTGACTATGAGGGGTACTCTGTGTTGCCCATGGCAATTAGGCAAGACACAATTGTAGCCATTGGAAAAAGAGATGCAGGGGAGTCTGAAAAGCTTCTTAGGATTGCAAATGTTAATGACAAGTACACAATGTGCACCTATCCTGTTGATCCTAACCAGGTAAGTTGCTCTTTTAGGTTTCCAAAAACACAGATTTTTGTTTGTAGTTTTCATATCCAACCTCATATTTCTTTTTGCAGGAGATCGACCTGAAGAATCATCGATGGGGCCATTATTTTATTTGTGGGTGAGCATTTACCTTATGTGATATACAGTTGTATACAAATATATACAATTGATACATTTCATTTTATCATAGTTTCATGTGTTGTGCAGATATAAGGGTTTCCATGAATATGCTAAATCAGCAGGGCTGGATGTAGGTTCACCAGTTGGACTTGATGTAATGATTGATGGAACAGTTCCTACAGGTAAGAAAATTGTTCAATTAAAGGTTTCACTTCTGATAAAAATAAATAAATAAATTTCTTTTTGTGTTTTAGCTTCATCTCTTTCTTGTCAAATACAATACAGGATCTGGGCTATCAAGCTCTGCAGCTTTTGTCTGCTCTTCTACTATTGCAATAATGGCTGCCCTCAATGTCAATCTTCCCAAGGTATTCTAATGATATGTTTCTATGGTTTCTTTTATTATAATAAGGATGAGGATGTTATGAACTGGACTTATAAGAACAAATTCAATAACACAAAAAGCAACCAAATGTTGATTGATAACCTCAAATCTACCCAAAAGATTACAAGACAAATGATTCGAGATAGCCAATCTCCCAGAGGAATTAATTCCAAATTTCACACAAAACATCGATAGATCCTCACTCGCCCTTTCCACTACCCTGTTATACTATCTCACATAACAAAACTGATAATATGAAATGCCCAAAATACCCCTAATTCTCCTTGCACTAGTAAGATGATCTTGATTTTGTTAATTTCCCAAACTACCCCTATCTAAAATAACATGAGGTAGTGGATGCATAACAGAGGAGGGCATTTACGT